ATTCACCGTGTGCAGGATCAGCAGCGATGCGCAACGCCGCATTGACGGCCCCGACACATACGGTGTCGAGTTTGTTTGCAAGGTCGGAGCCCATTGACGGAATGACGTGCTCTCGGGAGCGGTTGTGCTTCCGGTTTCTTGGGGCACATCGCCCCACAACCAAAGACCATGAAAAGCAAGGCCATTTTTCAGTGCCTTCCTGGTCAAGAGGTTTGGATTATGCTACACAAAAAATGTACAATGAAGAAGCAAACGAGATTTCAAATTATTTTCTTCTCACTTGACTGGCATCCGGATAATCTGCAAAATCTGTGCATTTTTGGTTTCGGACCAAGCCACTTGCATTCCTCAAAGGCATCTCAAAGGCTAGTTTGAAGGCAAGTCCACACAACAAATCTGAACACATGTTTACTGCGCCCCTCGACCATTTAGCCGTATTCATTTCTGACCAAGTGGTGACCACACGTGAACTACCCTCTAATAATGAGACATGGCAACGCAAAACCTCCAATATCCGAAGGGAACATTCCATTTTTTATCCCATTATGTCAATCTATCTCATTAACATGCTGCATGTATATCCATATATGTCCATGTATGCCTCATTAATAATCCACCCCTGAATCCGTTATTTTACAGATTTGAATGGTGACTTAAAGACTTTAGTTCGACGCCTCAGAGACCAACTTGATGGGTAAACTATCTCAAAATGGACACAAATGAACATGGCAAGTCTTTGCTGGGCAGGTTTTTAAACATCCCCATCAACATGGCCAGACCATGAAGGTAAATCGAAATTATCTGATTTGATTTCCAATGATTTCCATGGATTTTCCATTATATCAATCATACCAGTACCAGGCGGTAAATTCATAGAGACCGGTCGATTTACATCTACCCTCTGGTAAACTAACATAGCTATAGAAAATCACAATTTTTAATGGGTAAATCCACTATAAATGGCAATTTTCAATAGCTATGTTAGTTTACCAGAGGGTATTCACCCAGTAAAGGATGTTCCATTGACAATTGACGAGTTTAGTCCAAATTTGACAATGGACAAATTGTCAAAGTGGATGTCACCTGTCAATGGAACATCTTTTATCTATACTGGGTACAACAAAAATCTGGCTAAAAAAATGACCATGGATCTCTATACCTCTAAGTTTTACCCAGTCAATTCTCTGATTTTCCCTCTCTTTGGCACCTCTTTGGGTCCTAACAACGCAGCGGCATTCAGCAGAACCTGAAGCCAGGAGCTCGGGAAAACCCACCAACGGAGCTGAAGGGGCCACGAACGGTCGAACCATGATCCAAGTGGGGAAGATTTGGTTAAATAATGCTAGCAAATAAACTTAGTATATATATATATAGGTATAGATACATGTCAATGTGCATACAGATATAGATGATATAGATGATATGGATATAGATATATGTATATATATATATATACAAATATAGATATAGATATAGTTTTTGTTTGAAAAAAAAAAAGCAAACATCATTGAAATGACGAACTATAGGCTTAAATGATATTAAATGATGATGTACACCGCTCCAGGAACCTTGAAGTGGAGGAATCTCTGGCTACCCGTGGAGTGGTCAAATATGGCAACGTTATCATGTGGTCAAAACAATGCTGGTTGGTGGTTTCAACGATATTAGCCATATTCTTCCTTCATATCAAGGGGTAAGAATTCAATCATCTTCAATCATATTCAATCCGATATTTTCTGGTTGGTGGTAGACCTACCCCTGTGAAAAATATGAATTCGTCACTTGGGATGATGACATTCCCAATATATAGAAAAATCATGTTCCAAACCACCAACCAGAATGCCATAAACCATCCCCAAAATCACCATTATGGCTGGTATATACGGTATAAACATGTATAAACCATCAAACATAGGGGGTGGTTTATGGCATTATTTTACCCACACTACATGGAAAATCGTGAGAATACCCTCCAAATGGATCCATTCATGGATCTATTCATGGGAACGTCCTCTATAAATCCAAGTCATTGCAAGTCCAAGTCAGAGGTTTGAACTGTGTACCCTCTGGTTATTTAACATAGCCATGGTATAGATGGCCCATTGAAATCGTTGATTTACCCATAAAAAATGGTGATTTTCCACAGTTATGTTGGTTTACCAGAGGGTAAATCATTTCTAAATGTTGGGATTTGGGTGAGTCATTGCCATGTTTGATTACCAGAAGGCTCCCCATGAATTCACGGACCTCAATTCATGGCCAGCTATCGGCCAGCTATGGCTGGATGATTCCCCCCCAAAAAATATGATGCCACGAGGTGAGGTCACGATCAAACTCGTCCAGATCTTCTGTCCAATTTTTTGGGGATTGATAACATATTCCAGAGAGGGGATTGATTCCAGAGACATGAAGGTGTAATGCCGAAGTGTAACGTCTTGCTTTTGAGCCATCAAGCAGGACAACAAATGATTGTTTTATAGGAGTATCCTGTTTTTCTACAGGACAATTCCCAAGTACACATGAGCCCGTTGTTGGTAGGTTATGTATCCAAAAAATGCTGCTTGATCCCACATAATTCCACAAATAAATATGTATATATTATATATACATATAACATATATATATTGTGTATTAAAGTGTATTACTTAGTATTGCTTAGTATTACTTAGTATTGCTTAGTATTACTTAGTTTGATCACGTTTGATACCACCAAACGAAACGAGGGCCCTCCGAAACAACCCATATATGCTGTCACCAAGAAACCACATCCGGCAGGGATGGCCATTCAGATTCACACCTGCAATTGTCGAAGATCTTTGGATCATTTGGGGGAGTCAATGTGCTCATGGGTGAACAGTGGATGGTTTATACGGGAAAATCCTGGGAAATCCAGAAATGGGAACCCCATTCATGATGTCTTTTTGTGAAAACAATTTTATCCAAAGATCATTTTTTTTATGGAAACCACCATAAATGAAAAACCCCAAATGGATTGTTTCTATGGGAAAATCATGGAAAATCCATCTGTAAGTGGATAAGAAGTGGGGGGTAAAGAAAGGAAACCCCCATATAGTATGAGAATAAATGGTGATTTTTCATGTCGGCCCCGAATTAATTCATAAACCCTGGTTGGTGAATTGCAGGGGAGTGAAAATCTGCTACTAAACTGGTAGCCTCTGGTAAACTGACAGTTTGCTATTGAAAATCACCATTTATAGTTGATAGACCCATTAAGCATGGTGATTTTCCATGATTTTCCATAGTTATGTAAACGTCTACCAGAGGGTATCCGACTGAAAAAAACGGCACATTACTAGTCCCAAGTTCGTTGTCGACCCACAACCAATCCAACTCAACTGGATATATATAAACCCCAGCTTAACTACACGTTGTTCCATGGAGGTAATTAACATGGAAGCATGATTCCTTAAACCCCAGTTCCGGAACTGATGGAACCTAGATATTGACAAAAACTATGAGGGTTTGTTGATTCGGTCATTCTCGAGAGACTTGGATGCAACATGGAAAGCTGGAAAGATGAACATCAGGCGAAAACACCAAGGAGTCTACGTCTCAACATATGCAAACAGGCTTCTCATTTTTTTTCGCCAAAAGCAGGGCATCGACGTATGCTGTGGAAAATGTGCTGCAACTTGCACGAAGTTGCTGAATGCTGGCAGGCGCGTCTATCTGAACATTGCAACATGCAACAGTATGTAATCTGAAAGTTAGACAACGATATAGTTCTGGCGCAAGTAACTTCTACATCTTGGTCGTCAAAGGCATAGAAATGTGGTGCCCCAGCTTGGAATTTCTGGGTCGAATAATTCACTAGGCTAGGGTTTATGGATGTTGGGTTTATGGATGTTTATGGATGTTCATGGGAGATGTGTCGAACTAGAATGGATCCTATAAATTGTAAAGCACCAAACAGAACTGGGGGCCACGGTTCTTGTGATAGTTGAAGGTCTAAGTCTGGGCTGGCCAAGCCACCCATTCTTTCAGAATTCCCGCTCAAAAAATAACACCACCCCTGAGTCACCATGGTTTAGTAGGGAATTTCCAAATAAGTGGGACCATAGAATGGGCACGTTTAATATATATATATAATATGAACCGGGGATGGATGATTTTGTTCAGTGCGGCGAGTTTCGACATAACTGCGAAATCCGCAACTTCATCACAGATGTATCTGCCCTGACGGGTACCAAGCGCTTTGCGCTTGGCTGAGCTAGTGCGGGCGCCAGGCATGCTGTTCCAAGGGCCCTACTGATTCTCAGTGTATGAAGCCCCACAATTGGATGGTTCAGGTTCAATGGGCAAATGGCTACTTAGTTCAGTGACTATAGAAATTGTACCCCTAAGCAGAGATATAAAAAACAAAACAAAACGCAATTCGGGATTGACACAGAATGACTATGCAAAGCTACCCTTGCTGTTTCTTGCAGTTAGATACAAATTCAAGGCGGAACCCATTCAACTGCCCACAAGGCTGATTCCAATTCTTATCCCTTGTTCTGTAACATACCCAAAAGAGTCAACTAGTTACCAGTTACGTCTCAGGAAAATTGTTTGAAATCATGCCCTGTTGTGTGATGTTATTTTAGGTCAAACAAAATACTGTACGGCTAAATAGCCATTCATCTTGTCAGTAGCCAAAAGACATCAAAGAACACACTCTACAATGTGGTGCCCCCAAGTTAAAGTTGTTTTTAGATAAACACCGTGAACTATGGATGATATATCTACAATCACCCCTACTGTAATTGCAAGTTATGCACCAACTTACTGTCATTCGCCAATTGTGGAGCAACACCTTGTATACATATAAACAAATATCATGTATGTATATATATATATAATTATATAGGGGTTTCCTGAAATGGGGGTACCCCTAAAACAACCATCCATTTTGGGGATCCCCCATTTATGGAAACCTCCATATGCTTAAGATCGCACAAATCTTTGCGCCCAGCACCCGGCAAAGACCCAAGAAGCCCTCACGGCAGCAGCCGATAACGTGTCTGCTGGTACATCTCCCAGCGGTGTTCCGCTAACCGTTGCCATTTCTCAACACCCTGACCGTTGCAAAGGGGGACGCAAAGGGGGGCAAGGTGCATCGGAATCGACAGGTTCCGCATGGCAAAGTTTGACCTCTTCATTAAAACTTATATTGAGACATATTGGGACAATTAAGATATATATTACTCTATATGTATATATTGGTAACTATATCTTTTTTATAATACGTTTTTTAATATACGAACTGGACTTTTGAGCCTACCTCGCGGAAGGTTTTCCTTGGTCCGCCCGGCCATTTTTTCATACGGAATCCAATGTTTACACATACATTTAAATATACGGATGGAACTGGTGTCTCATACTACCTCCAGGGCATTGCGGTCTGGCCCTCCCTCCACATATTTAAATGTCGTCACCATACATATGTATATATTTTTTTAATTATTCATTATATGTTGGTCTTTCATTTACTGGAAAACTGTATTACTTCTGTGGTTCAAATGGAGCCACGTTTAAGCCAAAAATTAGGGATTCGCAAATATTGATTAGGGATTGATTGACTGCATGTAGACACATGTTCTTACAATAATCTACTGGACTTAGCAATGTTTAAATCTTTACTTCTGTAATTACATTTTTTAGTGTTCCCCTTTCAGATTTTCAGATTTTCCCAGTTCCATGTCGCTCCGATTCTTCAGAAACCGGATCGCCTCCGGCTTGTATTTCGGGAGCGCCAGGAAAAACACAAAAGCTTCCAACCTCAAAACGGTGAGCAGTAATACTTGTCATTCCAAAACCTACCTATATCCGACCCAGAAATAGCTCAATTCCTTTCCCCAGAATCACTTCGGTAAGTTGCTAAAGACAACTCCAACAACGAGGGTTTATGGTAGATATATCAAAGTAGTTCATGGGGGCTATAAACCAACAAACAACACTGGGGAGGCACCACCCTTTACTCTGATTTTTGCTGATCAATACCAGATCAGAAGCCAACATATGATGGTAGTCAAGTTGTGCAATATTATCAACCACTTAATATTCCCGCATTGGATACTCTCCATGACAACTAGTATAGATATATAGTATATAGAATTCCATGGCTTTCCTCTAGGAAAATTATCCACAAATGACGTCAACTCGATTCCAAGTGGTGGGTTTTCCAAATATTTCTTGAGTAGACCACTTAGTGGTACTCTATTTCTCACCGTCTCCAAGGATTTTTGTCTTTCTCAGATGTCCCACCCAGGGTTGACACGACATGAGCAATCTCGGAAACTCAGGTTGACGGAAAAGGGTATTAACCATTTGGGAAGGTCCCATCACACGTTTGCAAACAAAACGGATGTGTTTAGCAACTTTGGGGGTATAGCTTGAAGGGGAAGGAAGTATGTGCTCAGGTATGACATAAGCTTCAAACGGGGGTATCGCTATTTGGGAAGGTCCCATCACTAACCTCATGTTTGTACAATTTCTGAAAACCAATGTCAGTCCCTTACATGTTCCCTATTGCCGGAGTTCTTGTGGTGGCTCGCATGCATGTGCATAATCTATTTCAAAATCCAAACCAACTCTAAATACTGTGGATGGCACCCACCGTATCTCCGGATAGTTTATAAGTTTTAAATAGCCATCACGTGATTGGGAATCTTACTTGGTAGCTTCTTGAATCCCCATTGGGTTGTCAAAAGATATGATCAATGGAATGGTTTCAGGGAAAAATCTGAAGGGCACATCTATATCGAGTGGTAAAAGCCATGGTTCCTGTAGGTTCAGTGGTAAAAGCATGTAAAGACCATGATTTCCTGTGGATTTAGTGGTAAAAACCATGGTTTTCTGTAGATTTAGTGGTAAAAAACCATGGTTTTCTGTAGATTTAGTGGTAAAAAACCATGGTGTCTGGTTAAGATTGTCCCTTCAAAAAAACCATCCACGGGAACCGGTTGGCGCTGGCTTCAGCCGAGGTACCAGGTCAGAGGTTCGAAGGCTAAGGTCTCGCGCAACAGGGAAGAAAGGTCCACCCTTTCGGCCTCGGGGACGCCAAATGAGCCAGGAAAGTTATACCCCTGTTGATTGCTTATATCTGAGTTTCCCTACAACATATCTGTTCAACAGGGGGTTCTTCCAAACATATACCATCTGATTTAACATAGCTATCTGGTTGGTGGTATACCTAAACCTGTGAAAAATATGGAAGTCAGTTGGGAGTATTATTCCAAATTTGTGGAAAATAATCCAAATGTTCCAAACCACCAACCAAATACCCTTGTTGATTGCTTATTACCTGGGTTTAATTGGGAGTACAACTACCTGGTTGAAGTTGGGATTGTTATAACTACCTGGTTCAGTGGGATTAAAAAATAACCAGGGACTATGAGCTAAGCCATATAGTCATAGGAAACCTATCAACCAACCAACTGTTTCCAATGCATTAAACCCCACAACAACGAATCCCCACAAAAAAAGTCCCCAAAAATATGCCGAAAAAGTAACTGCAAAAAAATACACTTTAGGTAGACAAAAAATAAAATAAAACTGCATGAATATAGTCATATATGGATGATCTATTAAAATAACTGGCAACAAATAATTCTAGCATAGTGACGACAAGTTGAACCGATAGTCGACATGTTTTGTAATGACAAGCTATGATGTATACAGTAGTTAGTGATAATAAACATAGTGAAAATGCTGATCGCTAATACTGAACATCTAAAACATTCTAAAACAATGCATTGTCTATAGGTCTATAGGGTAAAAATACCCATCAATCATCATTTACTTTCATGAGACAAGAACTGTATATAAATGCAAATATCAATTCCAAGTACCTGGACATGTTTTTTCAAGGATGTGTTCAGATCAACTCATATATGCACATATTATATATAGATGTGTGATATATAATGAACTTATAGGTCTAGTATCTACGTTGAACTTAGCTTTCGTTTGCCCCACCTTGCAACCAACTTCCAAGGGTTGAAAATGGACAGTTCGACCCTTCCTGCCTGTCGGGAGTTGGAAGATTACTTTCCAGTAAACAAATGCGAATTTCAGGGTCAAACTGGTCAAACACTTAATTCACTGGAGAGTGAAAACACATGTACAAACATCAACATCAATCAACTGTAAAAAAAAAAACATCACTTCCAAAACTAGAAATGATCAATACAACATTTCTATGTCTAAGGGGTTTCCTCAAAATATAAACCAACACCCGGAGCCATGGATGCGCCTGGTGGGAGGCATAGCTTTGCAAAAAGTGTTCCAGGTCCTGCGGTGCTTTGTGAAAGCGTGAAAGCCGAGGAGTGGGGCTGTAGGGCTTTATGGTGATGTGTATGGTAAATAAATCAACATGATAGTGGAAGATGGTGGATTAATATGGATTAATAGTGGGAGAATAGTGGATTTCATGTTAATCCACTATTATTAACATATCTGGTTCGTGGTTTTAACATGTTTTAACCATCTTGAAAAATATGAAAGTCAATGGGAAGGATTATCCCATATATCATGGAAAACAACAAAAAATGTTTGAAACCACCAACCAGATATGGTAAATATCAACTTCACCAACTTAGGACTGTAGTGAATTGTCGTAAGATGCTATAACTAATGAAGCAAACTACAGTTGGTTGTTACAATGAACTATGTAAACTACAGTTGGTTTATGCTAATTATAACTGCAGTGAATCATGTTTATTAAAGAAATTGTAAATTGTAAACCAACTACAACATTATAACACTGGGGCCCCGTTTGTAATTCTACGACCATCTTTAAAAAAAAGGCAGGTGATTGCCGTAAATCCACTGAACCAAATTCTATCCATGGATTGAGGCGAACACGCAATGAAGCATGAAGCGACTACAGGTTTTGTTTTAGACAGGAAACAATGGTTCCCTTCAGAAATATATATATATATGTGTAATATTGTGTATATAATAGTAGAATGTGTGTGTCAAGCAATGATACTCCACCCGTATCTTGATGGTTCACAGCACCCATTGAAAATGGTAACTTTGGGCATGGTGGATCCTATTGCTTTACCAATATTATAAGGGGGCATGGTTTCACTACCCTTCAAGCAAATTCTGGGAGACAGGGAACTTTCAGGCCACCGTGGTCTTTCAAAATGATCAACTGATTGGACTGATTGGTGGTTATGAGTCAGAACAATCATCACACATAGGTTCCTGTGTCAGAGACCAGAGAGATCCCTTGTTGAGCTTCATGATCAAGCCAGCTATTGGAAATAGCCTGCGTCACTGCACGGACCATGGCCGGAGGATAGTAGGCTGAGGCCTGGGCAGCCACTCCACGGCACTCGGCATGTTCCACATGTCCCGGGCACTTCTTCTGAAGAGACAGCCAAAGTCGACGGTTTGTTGTCAAAACCGTCCAGCCCTTCAAGATGGGGATCTCGCTGAACTTCAAGCCGTAGGCGCATCCATGGAAACGACACCAGTAGACCGGTCGATTGAGGTCTCTGGCCTTTTGAGCTTCTCATGATACAGCATAAGCGTGGGTTGAGAACCGCACCCGCTAAAAAATTAAACCAATAAATTGCGGATCAAGAAGATGCTAATACATATCAGTCATAGATACATGACAAAATATCCTATAATCTTGATTTATAGATCATCTATGATTAATTTGTACGATAAGTATCATAAGTATCATAACTCTTTATCAATCACAAATTTGGGGCCCTCGGCGTCATTCACATACCCAGTCCTTCTGGGAAACCCCTTCGGGACGGCGGAACCTTGGTTTTTGAAACGGGTGACTTTTGCAATGGGGCAATGGGACAACAAAAACAGGGAATTCAACTCAACGATTAGCATACAAAAAGCTATTGAAAATTGCCATTTATAGTGAGTTTTCCCATGAAAATGGCCATTTATATGGTAAATAAATGGTAAATATATGGTAAATAATGGTAAATATCAACCAATTGTCTGTATATATGGCAATTTGCTAGTTATATATGCCAACGGTTAGCTGGTTGGTGGTTGAAAAACCATCTTGAAAAATATTAGTCACTGGAAAGGATTATCCCATATATTATGGAAAATAAAAAAATGTTCCAAACCATCAGCCGGCTATTTCCCTCCGGTAATTTAACATAGCTATTGAACATGGCCATAGAAATAGCGGATTTACCCATCAAAAACGGTGGATCTTTCCATAGTTATGTAAACGTTTACCAGAGGCTATCTGATGTGATTTTTTGTGGATACCTCGTGTGGCTCCAAAAAGGATAATAGATGAGAATAGGGACCGTTTGATGGACTCAACGATTTAACCCACATTGGAAACGCTTGAATCATGGCTGGAAAAACACTTTGACAGATGATCTTTAACTCATGTGTTCTTGCTCACAAGTAGTGAGACCCCGAAGTGCCTATTTTGCATAATAGACCATCAAGCGCTGGGTACTTGGATGCCCCAAAACCAGGAACCAATCGCATCTGCTGCTTGCTGTACCATGCAATGTGCAACATCCCAATGGTTATGTTCATGACCCCAGTATGAATCTATTGGTGACGTGCGTGTCTTCATTTGCTCATGCACCCCTACCAACCATCCACTGGTTTGTCACGGTTGTATCTGGTATTTCCATGTATTTCCTGAATGTTGGTCGTATCCCCATTGGGTAAGCTTAGACAAATACCCGTTACCCTACAAAGCGGTACTGGACATATTTCACCGCAAAATGAAATTTCATATGTCATATTATATTCCTTATATTCCACTTTATTCCTATATGAGTGACGGCCATTATGTGGTTAAGTGAAGAGTAAAGTATTAGTATTGAGTATTGAGCCGTACCCCGGTTGCCGAGAATAGTTACAATTTTAGATTGCAAAACGAAGTCCGGGAATGGACAACAAGCTTAGAACACCCCGTCACTAAGGTGATGTACTAAATATGGTCCGCGGCTGATACATTCCTTCCAACACGGCTCCGCCTGAACTCATTCACCACCCAATCCCCGAGGTCAGCAATGTTTTTGCTGGTCAAGAGACAATTTCATCCAGTCGAAGCCGCGATAATTTGGGCCTTGGGCGCCGCATGAAAAAAACGGTGTCCTCAAACCCGAAACGGAGGATAATTGCTAGAAAAATCCTGTCATATTCGAGGTAACCAGGTCCAAATTTTGGGTAGGTGGTGCTGGTTGCCGGATTTCATGACTCCAGATCTCTGGCGCCTCGGTTCATTTTGGCGCCCCCACTTAGTAAGTAGCTTATGACCCCAATCAAAAAAGTGGATTAACCCTACAGAAATCCCATTTATAACTGGGGTTATATCCCACTTATTAACTGGGATGAGCCACCAAGCAACAATGATATGATGATGACATTTCCAAAGCACAACATCGCTAGCCGAATCCTCCACGGTTTCACCTGAAAAACCCGACAGGGCTGGCGCCTCCAAGTTCGAAATCAATCAGCCAAACCTCTCCTGCGACCACAGGAAACTGAAGTTCTAACTTACCGAATCATTGAAGTTGGTTTATATCATGTCATATCATATCACACCACATCCGAAAATCTTACATACTTGGTGGCGAAGTACCCACGGCTCGAAAGTGGGATATAACCCCAGTGATTGACATGGGATTTCTGTAGGCTTAATCCACTTATGGGGTGAACTCACCCACTTACGAGCCGTGGGTTCGCCACCAAGACATATCCACCACAAATCCACAGAAAAAACCGACGCCGACCATCGAGAGATACCGTATTCAGGGGACAAAAAACTCCAGCCTTGAGGCCTTGAGGTCAGAAATTCTGACACCGTCCAGAAATGTTTTTGGAAATGTATATCTGTAATATACAAGAACGCTAGGTGTCTCATCTATTTGTATATATGTATATACATATGATAAGTATACACTAAATATACGTATATATATATTATAATGACAATACAAATAACAAATAATCTATACTCTATATTTACACACATGCACCCACTTCACTTATGATGTTTATCATCAGAGGTGCAGTCCACATTCCTCACCGAGCCGGCCTTGATGCTCTAAAACGTTGGAGGGCTTGAAGTCACCGTGGCCACACACCACCTGTCCAGTGAGATATGGAGATGGCCAAATATGGCCCGGTTTCAACATAGGGAGAATGATGTTTAAAACATGGGAGAAAACCCATGAAAACCATGATATTTTGGAACATGGTATAACTGGTTTTGTTGATAGTCTGATATTTCTTCGGGTATAATTGATTATAGTTCTTATGATATTCTATAACTTTTCAGTCATGAGAGATGTTTTTGGGTGCAGAGCTGATTTTTGTTTCACAAACCCACATGCTGTATTGGAAAAACAAACCTAACTTGAGGAAAGAGGATGAGTCCAAAGTAGCGCCACTGACCAAGTCGTTGTGATATGATGTCATACTACTGGAAGTATTTGGAGACTCACTAAATAGCAAGTGTTTTGTACAGGATGGGCCCCATAGTTTGCAAAGTTAGTTTATAAGTCCAATAACTAGGGTTGATAGGGGATGTAACTATACCATACTATAGCTAAAGGGGATATATAAATCAACTTATAACCGGGAAGTGTAAGGGATGTACCTCTTTATTAGTGCTTCATTTTCTGGTCTACAAGCCAGTTTTTGTTGACCAAAGTTTCATGATAATCCAAGCAAAGGACCGGCCATATCAACCAAGGATGATGCGAATCAATCCCTAAAATGATGATTTCGATGATACAGTACCCACCCACCCCATTTGATAAACTAAGTGTTGGTCCTACAGTAGTTTCACATAACCAAAATCATTCGCCATGTCAATTAGAACATATGTTTAAGAACCTTCCTTCAATCAAACCTGGTTTCAAGGAAAATCCTGTTAGTTTACCCAATTAGAAAAGGGAGGATAGGAGACCTCACATGGTACATCACTGGGATGTTCCCAGACCACATACACGGCTCCGCTTTTACAATTTTTGATTTGGATATGACTCAACCCGACTAGGTCATCTCCCAAACTAGCCCATCACAAATTGAACATCTGGAATTAAAATGAATGACTGGTTGGTGGTATACCTACCCCTCTGAAAAATGATGGAGTTCGTCAGTTGGGATGATGACATTCCCAATATATGGAACAATAAAAAATGTTCCAAACAACCAACCAGGAATGTTTTAGGTAAGTTCTAGGAGTGTCCCTACAAGGAATGCACCCCTCCACAAGAATTGGGAATATGTTGGAATCCGTTACCAGTTGGGATGAGCAGTGGCATGTACCATCGCCAAAATTGCAATCGTAACGATAATTGCATGAGTGATTACCCTCTGGTAAACTAACATAACTATGGGAAATCATCATGTTTAATGGGAAAATTCACTATAAATTGCCATGTTCAATAGCTATGTTAAATTACCAGAGGGTACTGTAGAATATAAAGCTAACATTGTATGTTCATTAAAACACTCACTCAAAATGGCAAGATTGTAGGAAAAAAACATCTTCCATCAAAATTATACAGATATCTGTATGATACATATATATATATTAATATGAATACCATCTCTTTTTTTTAATAAACATCCTCCCCAGAAACCATGGTTTAATCGTGGAAAAATAGGGTCTTTAATATGAACAGAGGATGGAATTAAACCATCCCATGTTTTGACAGTTAAGTCACTAAAGTACCCATTGTTGATGGCCTATATTCATCTACCCTCTGGTTATGACTAACAGTTCGCCATGGTATAGATGGCCCATAGAAATAGATGGTTTACCGCACTTAAAAAATGGTGGATCTTTCCATGGCGAACTGTTGAAATAACCAGATGGTATATTCCATTTCACCCCTATCAAATCACACTATGTTTTTTCTACACTCATTATTGATTCCTCAAGTCCCAGCTGATGGTTCTATCCTGTTATACCCATAAGATCCCTAAAAAATCCCGTTAACATCTCTATATCATCCCCCTTGAAAATACAGTATCCCTTTTTAAATCTCGATATAATATCCCGATCAAGTCTCTGCAACATTCAAAAAAAAATCCTGCTATCAACAACCCGTCACCGCTGTCGTCTCAGACCATACACAGTGTCTGTTTCTGGAACTGCTGTGTGGCAACGGTTCTTGTTTGCCTCAAGAATGCACCATCACCATTTGGCACAGGCAGCCCAGGCATGGTAAATTGCTGCTGCAACTCCGATTGTATTTCATAGGTTTGTGACCGAATTCACCTGTGAGGACGTTTTCAAACATGTCAGCCTGTGTTCCAGCTGCAGAATGTTCGTTGCAAATGTGGGCCGCTCATGTCAAAGGCTCCATGGGCTCACATTGCTTCAAGTGAACCTGACAGGGTACTTAAAAAAAAGGAAACTTTTTCCTGCAACTTAGCCTTTGACAAGAGCTTCTTCTCAGCGTTGTGGGATTGAGCAATTGCAAGGGCACTTGCGTCATCTGTGCAGCTTGTTCCGGTTGAGAATTTCGAGGTGTTCTTGGCCTCCAGAATCTTGTCACTATGCTGTTCTTGGCCTGCTGAAGTCCATGCTCAACAACTCTGGTTTAACTCAAAACAACATGGGCTTGAAAAAGTTGAAGAACCAACTTATAACATCTTATAACAGCTATACAGTAACATCTTAAAAACTGGGGGGAAGGCCCACATCTAGTACCAAGCCTCCTCTAAAATCCCTATATCTCCCTAGCCATCAACCGCCCCATCGGACCTTGGGTTCCAAGGCCTCCAAGGCCTCCCGCGCGCGCGCGATCTCGGCGCGGAGCTCGGCCAGAGGCGGCAGAGAGCTGGGGAGACCTGGATCTCCAAATGGATCACAGGAAGCGGTTTTTTTGGGTGATGTTAAGACGGATTTATAGGGATTTTGTGGGGCTTTCATAGGGATTTATAGGGATTCTGCAAGGATTTATAGGGATTGTGTAAGGATTTTGTAGGGATTTTGTAGGGATGTCATCGTCATCTTGGTAAGGATGTTCAAGGTTTGGTGATTTCATCGTCCTTTTAATAAGGATTTTATGGGTCTTGGGCGATTTGATAGGAATCTTCTCGGGAATTGACAAGGATTTTATGGGTCTTGGGCGATTTGATGGGGATTTGACAGGGATATCAAGGGAAGTTCCATTGGTGAGTGGGAATGTATGTGACCATCAGTACTAGCGAAAAGAAACATATTATAGCCAATAGCTACTGCACCCAGCCCAATGATGTTGATACGATATACAAATACGATATATATACAGGTACGATATATATATATATACGGATAAACATATTAAATATATCTATAGTATATATATATATAATGATATGATATAATATAATATAATGTAACATAATATAATATAATATAATATAATATAGTATAATATAATATAATATAATAATATAATGTGGATTAACATGGGTTGTTCTAATATGGATTTTTCTATGGGTGGTTCACCACTTGCGATTCCTGGGATGCACCAGTACACCCTTCCTTGTTCACTGATCTTAGCCAATTCATAGTTCGTGGTTTCGCAGCCTTCTTGTGCAGTGAAGAAGTCATTGGTTTTTTTTTGGCGGAAAAAAAAACACATCCAACATAGCCCATAGGATCCATGTATGCTATATATATGGATATATATGGTAACATTTACCATCAATATACCCCCAATGTTAGCATATATACCATACATGGATCCTATGGGATAGGGGCTGAACTGACTTAACTATCAAACATGGATGTAAATCCAATTCCCCGAGCATGTTCGATACCCCCATGTAAGGGCGACCCAAAAAATCGTGAATAGATCCAATACAGGGTTTCGTTTGGGTGGTATTTGCTACTAGGTGGAAGAGAACTTAGTGATTGGTACTATATAGCAGTTGTGTTGTCTATCAGTACCACGGTTGATGGAAGAAATCCTGCACCACCTTGGATGGTCGAAACTCTATAAATAATGGGACAAACCACCGTTTTCAACTGGTGATTCGGATTTCGCAACCATCCACAGTATTAACAAAAATTATTAATGTAATACCATCAGAATAACAATCCCAACTCCTTCGTAAACACCACCCATCCGAAACTCGGGTTTACGGATCTCTTCATTTTGGGGTCCAACGGTCCAATATTGAGTCGGAGAGTATTTCATACTACGGGGATGGGATTCCACTCACTACTGCCAAAGGTCTATATAGTAATGGCCTCTGGTAAACATGCAAAAAACGATGGACAAATCCACCATTTTCAATAGGTAAATCCACGATTTCAATGGGCCATTTTCAATAGCTATGTTAAATTACTACCAGAGGGTAAATCTTACCTCTGGTGTCATAGTAATTTTCTCTTCTGCTTCTTGTTTCATCTCGTCATTCTCCACTGGTAACTGCGAAAAAATAACCCATTGCCGGCAGGATCTCAATTTGCCCAGCGCACAATTTCATTTAGATTAGACATGATATAATTTCATTCCTCCCATCCAACACAAACATTGGAACACCATTTTCCACTCATCTTGTTCCCGATGTCAATTAAATATAATTATATAATTACCCCCTGGTAAACTAACATAGCTATTGAAAATGGCCCATTGAAATCGTGGATTTACCCCATTCATAGTTGATTTCCCCACAAAAAATGGTGGTTTTCCATAGGTTTTTGTATGTTTACCAGAGGGTAAATCCCATTGCAATCCCATCCCATTGAAGCTCCAAGGTGGGCTCCACCTAGCCCCAGCGACTCTCATCGTCCACCACCAGCAGCATCTTCTCCATGGTTCTCCACAGCATCGGTTCACCCACCGCGGCCGCGGGGACTTCTTGCCTGCGCGGCCGCGACAGCGATGGTGAATGTGTGCCAAGACGAGAAGATTTGGTTCTTGATAAAGGGAAAAGAAGAACAGGACATAGCTTTTGATATGTTTTGATGCAAGGAAAACTGGGAATTTGGTTTTGATGTGAGGCAATTCTGTGATTTGGATTGTCACGGTCCAAAAAGTACGTGATGGGCCTCCACTTTCTTGGACCTTTGAGGAGGGAAAGAACAAGAAACCATTGACAATTGAATGTCAGGAGTACCCCAGTTTTGGACAAAATCACCAACGTTCTTCTTTGAAGCAAAACTACTTCTATTTCTTTTGGCTGGTGGTTTCTGAGCTCTGACATGCTCCCCATTGAAAATGGATCCTTAGCTCCCACAGCATCTGTGTTGCAAAATCATTGGTAGAGAACCGCCAAAAAGTGGATAAAGAGCATGATGGTGGGACATCTCATTTTTATAAACCTAAGACTAAACACATGAAAGCAAAGGACATAAAACATGAGATCTTTCACTGCAATCTGCGTTCCCAGCGGTAAGGACGAGAATGAACAATGTTGCATCCTGAAACACCGAGCAAAAATATTGCACTGGCCTGCTAAATCAAGTTCAAGAAGTCAAAAATGTAGAGTATTAAAATGTGATTGCTTATAATTATAACATGATCTTACCCATAGGATCCATGTATGGTATATATGCTAACATTGGGGGTATATTGATGGTAAATGTTACCATATATAGCATACATGGATCCTATGGGTTATATGTAATCAATCCTTTTCTGCTCATGATTCTCTGATTCCCTGCATGGCCAATGATTAGGGATTGATCTCCATATATCTTGCATGCACGGTCGCAACCGTCGCACCTGTGGTAGTCAAACAAACGTGCAGCGATCTGATCCAAGAGCTTCCAGTTCCCACAGTGGACATCTGCCTCGTCAACACTTCTCTGTGTGTGGCCAAAAAAAGGGTGAAGCAAACCATGATTCCAATATATAACATATAAAATGGGTATGGCTCAAACACGGAGATCAAACTCACATGGAGATAAAAAAAAAACATATTTTAATATATATATATACATATGTCAAATATGAGACCAATCCATGAGTTGAAACAAACTCGGTCAAAGAAAGAACTGCTTCAAAAAAGGGGATCGGATGGACTCGCAGACCGAAAACGAAGCGATAAAACAGACCGAAACACTAAGACATCCATGTTTGTTGGGTCGATACTCTTCAGCCATTCCCACCAGATTAAAATATCTGCAGTTTAGCTAAGACCTTTGGAATCCTGCTGTTTTTGGGCTACATGTTCACTCTCAGAGAGCATACATGTCATATCGTACATATGCAGAGCTCAAGATTCAACCAGATCTTCACAACGAATAAACACCAGGCATTTCACAACATTCACAACCCACAAACACCAGGCATTTTTCATGGTTTCCCTGGTGGATCATCCCCCACCGCGGGGGGTGGATCCCTGGGTTCCTGGGTTCCGGGGGATCCCGGGAATCCCTGATCCGTGGCCTCCTGCAGTATGTCGCCGGGTAGGAAGTCCATGACCATTCCCAGGTGGCAGCAGCTGTGCACTTTTGGCCCCACGCGACAGCGACTGGCCAACTGATCCATGGCGCCCACCTGGTGCTGGATGGGATGGGGGTGATGGGGAGATATCATCATGAAATACCATGAAACATCATGAATGATGATGAATGATGATGAATCATGATGAATTGTCATCATGCATCAACATCATCGTCGTCATCATCATCATCATCATCATTATCATCATCATAATCATCATCATAATCATCATCATCATCGTCGTCGTCGTCATCATCATCCTCATCATCATCACCATCATCATCAATCATCAATCAATCAATCAATCAATCAATCAACCAACCAACCAACCAACCAATCAATCAATCAATCAATCATGATCATCATCAATCATTATCATCATCATGAATCATCATCATGAATCATCATCATGGCATGATTCATAATCATGAAACATAATCATGAATCATCATCATGAATCATCATCATGAATCATCATCATCAACAACAACAACAACAATCATCATCATCATCATCATCATCATCATTGTCATCGCCATCGCCATCGTCATCATCATAATCATCAACATCATCATGATCAACATCATCATGACGATGATTATCATGGTTATCATGACTATCACGATTATAACCGTCATCAATACCAAAAGCGATAAGGAGGGACAACAAAACCAAAACAGCAAATACAACATTAGCTGCGAAACTACTCGCAAGACTATCACTGAGTATCTTCCCACTTAGGTGAACATCTTCCAAGGTTATACATGGTCCATTTGGATGCCCAGCTCACAAAAAGGTGAGTTCGTACATATGTCCCGTTTCTGGCGAAAGAGTGTTTAGTACTACCCTCCGCTGGGCTAATATAAACCCTGAAAATCCCTAGTGCTTAGAGGAATCTAATCTTCCAAGGTCTATGTGAAAATCGCTTCACCGAGCAGCTTTTAAAAACCATCCGACACACCCAAGGTCCGGGGCACGGCGTGCATCTCGATCCGCAGCAACACCAGATCTGTGAAGCATTTCCTCATACGCTAAATGGGGCTTTAACCAGCAGAAAAGTGGATTTCACCATGAAACATGGATAAAACTGACAGGATAAACATTGTTAAACACTTCAAAACAAAATACCAGTAGGGCTTTAACTTGAAGCAACTATAATGTTGGTTTATAACAGTACTGTCATACACATATTTATTATTTAGTGCTACTCAAAATAGGTATCAACTAAGATCTCCATGCATTGGAGGCACCTATAGGCTTTGACACTTGCTCACTTTGTCATTCATTCCTGGGAGTATCTCTGAAGTATCTGTTGTTGTTGTTGTTGTCTGAAAAATTATTGCAACCCAAACAGTTCGGGGCTTTCCTGTGATTTTTTTCGGCAACCCTGCTGATTTTTCGCTTTGAAGAGTTCAATATTAGGCACCCAACTGTCTCTGGTAGAGGTTTAGTGCCGAAAAGTGACCAGCCTATCTGTGTTTTCACCAGCATGCAGCCATTCTGACTGCAATCCAGCTCCACTATCATGGCCGATAGCCTGCATAAAAACAGGACTCTTTAGTTGGCTATGGGCAAAATTTGGTATCCCAATAATTACCCTCTGGTAAACTAACATAACTATGGAAAATCACCATGTCTAATTGGAAAACTCACTATAAATGGGCCATTTTCCATAGCTATGTTAAATTATCCCAATAATTGACTGGTTAATACTACAATGTGAGGCCCCCAAGATACCTAAGTTGGTTTATAACTTCAATAACTATGGTTTATGGTACTTATAACTATAGTTACTGGGGCTTATAAACCAACTAACACCACTGGGGGGCCTCACATTGCAACAATAGACTAAAACTGACGAAAATCTGTGGCCCCCTGGGTCTCAAATTTTGAGCCAAACCCATGTTGTTGCTGCGATAGTTAAACCACCATTTTGCATTGATAAACCCATTCAAAATCACCAGTGTTCGATGGTCAAACACAAAATTTCCATGGATTCCCACAGATTTCCATAACTCAAACATGTTTAACCATAGATTTCCATAGGTTTCCATAGATTTCCATGGATTTCCATAGATTTCCATGGATTTCCATGGATTTCCATAGATTTCCATAGATTTCCACCATGTCTAACCCGGTCAAGCCCATGGTTTTCTGCCGAGGTGCACTACCAGAGGTCGATCCTCCCAGGTGGCCTTCCACACGTAGTTGGAGAAGCCTCTTTTCGGGATGTTTTTTTTCTTGCGGACGCTTCCAGTTTTTTGTTTTTCGAAACATGTAGTGATTTATAGTTATTTATAGTGATAGTGATTTATAGTTATTTTTTAGTGATAGTGATAATCATATCACTTTCTATGATTATATGATAGTGATAATATGATAATGATTTTGCATAGCGATGTGATGATTAATGATAAATCATCATATTTGGGGAACAAATGTCATCGGAGACTTGTTCAGAGACTATGTGGATTATTACTATATGAGATACTATGAGAATGATATGATAATGGCATCAGAGACGTTTTCAGGCGTATTTTTCTTGAGACATGCAATGACATTCATATAATCCCTTGAGAAGGTTCATGTTAAATCTGATCGAATCACGTGGCCAATCAGTATGTCTCTGCTGGTGAACAGAAAAGCCATCCCCTCAAAACAAGCCATCAGTTGCAACCATGACTTGATCCACGTTCAAACCATAACCTGGGAATCACATCTTTACCAATGGCCATTTCAGGATCCTGAATTGGAGGTACATACCATATATAAGGCCTATGTAAGGCCTATGTAGGGGAATATCCCCACAAAATATGGCCTTATATGGCACAGTACCTCCATTTTAGGATCCTGAAATAACCATGGACTTTATGTCCTATTCATGTACCACAGATATAAGACATGGATCCATATGGATCCAGATTAGAAATACTGATGAGCTGTGATTTGATGAGATTTCAATGGATCCTCATGGGATTGCAATTACACTGGTTTCTCAAAAAGCAACTGACAAAACTGGTGGATATCTTGGATGTATGGTGGATATATCTACTTTGGTGCGGTTTATAGACTAACAAACATGGCCACCAACAAAATAGTCTTAACCTAACTATAATGATAGCATCATGGTGAACATCTTTTATTGCAGCAATCTCCAGAAAGATATGGTTTAGCAAAAATTGTAAATTTGTGTTATTTCACGTCTATATTATTAATTATAATATACATATATATATATATATATAGATAGATAGATAGATTAGATAGATAGATAGATAGAGATAGATAGATAGATAGATAGATAGATACATAGATAGATAGATAGATAGATAGATAGATACATACATAGATAGAGATAGATAGATAGATAGATAGATATGGATACATATATATATATATATATAGATAGATAGATAGATTAGATAGATAGATAGATAGAGATAGATAGATAGATAGATAGATAGATACATAGATAGATAGATAGATAGATAGATAGATACATACATAGATAGAGATAGATAGATAGATAGATAGATATGGGGTTATCATAGGAACTGTATTCTTATAGTAACCGCCAAAAAGAGTGAACAGTACATTTTTATAGGCTTGCCCTCCAGCAAATCAAACAATGAAACACTACGGGACACAGCCACTGGGTTCCCAAGGAAAACGGTCTGCAAATGATGGGCTTTCCGTATCTATATTTTGTTTCACTGGAGGATCACTACCTATCTATCTAGCTATCCATATTTAGCTTGCCACCAGAAAACATGAATGTGTCACAGGCTGATGTGCACCTGTGTGTCCGGGACAGAAAAAAGGGTATCGCTTAGGCATCGCTTTAGGCATCGCTAAAATTCACCTCATGCTTTTCCAAATTTGGTGTCTGTTGATACTGTCGTACTTTGTCAGAAAGCAGCTCCATGCAACAACAGCAGTACGAAGCTAGAGTCAGCAGAGAGGCAAGCAAAACAATGCAAGTTGACATCGGGGGTCAATGAAAACACTCTTCAGCAACGACAATAATTTGTCACGAAGAAGCTTCACTAAACAACAGCAGTGGGGAGATAAAGTCAGCGGAGAGGCAATCGAAATGGCGCATGTTCAAGTGGAGAGTCAATGAAAACATGCAAGGCAAGGATGTGCAGGCAGCTAGAGTAGTGAAACAGACCTTTTTACAGGGAATTGGCTGCCGCTTCTGCGGATTCCCTTCTCTGCGGACCACTCCATGGATATCAAGAAGAACACTCTCTGAGGAGCGCGTACCCTTGTGAACCTAAATCTGTTTCACAAATGACGTCAGAAATCAATGTCCGTGACATTACCTTGAAAGGGGGTATCGGGTATCGCTAATTTGGAAAGGTCCCATCGCTTACCTTGTGTTTCTACAATTTCCATCAGTTTCCAAAAAATGTCCGTCCCTTACATGTTTTGTATTGCCGGAGTTTTTGCGGTGGCTCATATCAGATTTAGATAAAGATATTGCCGTGACTGAAACCTGATTTTACTTTTCAATCCAGACAAACAAAAATAGTAAAAGTCATGTTGTCTTTTTTTTTCGTTGGTGAAATAACAACGCATAATCAAATTTTGAAGAACTATGCATATAATATGAATTTATATAAATAATTATTATATTTGTTTGTCTGACTTGGCTACCCCTAAATTTTGATTCTATATTTGGTTACTTGGATTTGCTTGTTCGGAACCCACAAAGAATATGAACATATTCCCAACTCATATTCGTCAGATCCAGCGAAAATAATATAAACATCATGAAAAAAGTCGGTAGCCATTCTATCCTTACATTGTTTATCCCCAAAGCATAAAACATACCCTCTTGTAAACTAACATAGCTATGGAAAATCACAATTTTAATGGGAAAACTCACTGTAAATGATGGTTTAATGGTACTTACCCTCTGGTAAACTAACATAGCGATTGAAAATGGCCATTGAAATTTTGGATTTACCCATGAAAAATTGTGATTTTCCATAGCAAAATGTTAGTTTACCAGAGGGTAAATTCTTTAAGAAATCCGCGTGGATGAAATCTCAATGAAGTTGATCTTCGCCTGCCGTCAAAGCTTGGAAGCCCGCGGCCGCGCCATCCTCGACCGTTTCGAGACGTGGGAAGTTTCACCGTGGATGCTTCGCTAAAACTGTGAGTCTTACCTGGATAGAAGTGGATAGAACATGATAGAACTGGCTTAGAATGGATATGCTGTGAAAATGGCGATGGAACTGCAAAACCATAACTTACCATGGGTCATTAAATGTCCCCATTGAACATCACCCAACCATTAGGTATATAATCTATAATGGCTACTATAAGGTGATGTCCAATATTCCCAAAATGGGACAGTTACCAACCCCTGCTTACTGTATCTAATAATGCAAAACATAGGGATTCAACCGATGACCATTTGAGTAATGATGAAAGCCAGTGGATTTAGGGGATGTTTGCTATCACTTAAGTTCCCATTGTTGATGATTCTATCCCTACTACATTACATCCCTATCAATTCTTTGGAAATCAGCTAAATCCCTATAAATCCCCTACAAAATCAACAAGATCCCTATAAAATCTATAAATCCCCCTACAAATCAGCACAATCCTTAAATCCTCCATAGAACCCGGAAACTCCCTATCAATCCCTTGTAAAATCCCTTCTAACATTTTCCAATTGTCTGGCGCAGAAATATGCATCGCCAAGTGTCCAAACAGGCCGCCTGCACCAACTCATTACAAGCGTGCTCCGGCAGACCCTCATCGCCTCCTTCAACAGAGGGGTCACCACTAGCGCGCTGAAGGTCGATCTCTCTCTCTCTCTCTATGTATATATATATATATATACATATACATTTGATATGTTATAAGCACCATATTATTGTTATCACACTACATTATAGATTAATATCATATGAGCTGCGGACCGTATTTGTTACATAACGCAATTGACGGGGTGTTCCTACCTCGTTCTCCAGTCCCGTAACGTTTTTGCCTACCTCATTCTCGGGGTGTTCCTACCTCGTTTTACAAGCTAAATGTAATGTTTTTGACAAACCAGGGTACGTCCGAATACTACTTTCCATATACGCAAATAACCGTCGCTCATATATTTATATATATACACACATTGTTATGTATATGTATGTGTATGTGTATTGCATTATACTTGCAAAATCGATGTACAATTACGTACATATTGCACGACACAATGGGTACATACAGTACATAACAGTATCTATTGCAATATATTGCATTACAATAACACTCGTGAAACCATTATGAATGTATAACTTACGTATGTGTTGTATCCAATATGCACATACATGTGTTTATATATATATATTATGGTACATATATGTACATATAATATGCATATATAAATACTATATGTAATTATATTTTATGATGATGAAGCGGAAATGTGTTTTTTTTGCAACACATATAGAAACATTGTATTATAGGTTTTAACCATGTTTGACCCATATCAATATGATGACCAAACAGGCCTTCTGAAGCGGACCAACCCATGCTGGGCTGGATTCTCCGGTGACCGGCCGATGCGTTTGTCTGTGAGCTTCTTGTTTGTGAATGGCATTGGTTGGATTCTGATGTCTAGTCGTCTAGCTGTTGGGCTATACTATAATCCTGTTTTACCGTAATCAATTGATCCTAATTTACCGTAATCAAATTGGGAATTGCTCAGATCTTGATTCACTGTAATCAATTTGTTGATTTCAACCGATCGGGGACAGCATGTACTGTGAAATATGTGAAATGCAAGGTGTTTTCCCTCGAGTTTTCCCTCTGACATTGCAGTGATGATCCTTAACAGTGCCAGAGAGGGCACGGTTGTCGCACGTAACATCGGATGACATGCATGTAGGTCCTTTCCCGTCTTTTCCTGCAAATCTGTTAGTTTATCTTGTTTCGAATAGAACCTTTGTATGACCTGTCTGTCTTTACACTGCCCCCATACAAATGTACAACTATAATCAACTATACAAGGTCCGACGCAGTCAAAATGGATCGTGGATTAATTGGCTTCGTTTCGCTCTGAGCCAAGCTGCAGGGTTTTACAGCCTTGCCCCCCTTGGGCAGTGGAAAAAATCCGTTCTGTTTGGGTTGCAGATTCCCAGGTTTCACATCTGGTTGGTGATTTACCTACCCCTCTGAAAAATATGAGTTCGTCAGTTGGGATGATGACATTCCCAATATATGGAAAAAAAACATGTTCCAAACCACCAACCAGTCATATGTGTTTACTGTGTTTACCTCTGGCCATGGATCTAGAGGGTGATCTTTGAGATCATTGTCGCTCGCAGCCCAACAAAAATCTCAAACATCGCTGGGAAATCCCCAGCGGACCACGGAGCTTTCAATGGGAAAATCCGTGCATTTTCCAGTGCCAAATTTGATTTTTGGAAGGTAAGACTGGCCATATCTATCTTGCCTTTCCCGAGGTAGATGACATCTGGTTATGACTAACAGATCTAACAGTTTGCCATGGAAAGATCCACCCATTTTTAAGAACGGTAAACCATGGAACTAAATGGGCCATGGCTTCCATGGCTTTCGGACTTGGGGAATGTTGAAACGACACGCCGAGGCCACCATTGAAAACTAGTTCAATTGCTAAAGCGTAAAGCATGTCTGTCCACAATGTGGGGAGAGAAGCACTAACTCACCAGCTATATCATTGCTATATCTTGTTATTGAAGAAATTGTGAGTGAACCCCAAATTTACAGGCATTTGAAGAGCATGTCAGCACGAAACGTGATTTACTGATCACCGATTCTTTTCTTTGGACAGGTCAATGCATGAAGCTGTAAAGATTAGATTTCAAAATCAGCAGCCAGCAGACTTTCCCCTACCAAGTGCATTGTTTCATTTTAGCATAAACGACTCCTAGTGAGCCCCAGTGATAGGGATTTTTGTTGGTTTGCTTCATCCGTATTTGTAAAACGCAACCCTCAGTGTATGTCTCAGAGAGTTTTCGGAAACATGTATCAGCTGTTTTGATATGGAGGTTTCCTAAAATGGGGGTACCCATGGGTACCCCCAAATCATCAATGTTTATAGGATTTTGCCATTTAAAAAAAAAAACATCCAGCTCTTGGGGAACCCCCATTTCAGGAAACCTCCATATGCAATGTGGGATCATCATGAGCGGGTTAAAGTGACCCGTTGTCCAAGGAGGTTTCCTAAAGGGGTACCCCTAGGCCCTAGTTATCATCCATTTTAGATTGGGATTTTCCCTTATAAAGCCATCCATTTAAGGCTAGCCACATTTTCAGACACATTTTCAGACACACCCAAATAGAAATCCCAATAGATGGGATGTTCCGAAAAATAATCCATCTAGCTATTGGGATACCCCCATTTAAGGAAACCCATTGTTTTTCACTACCAAAGATTTAGGAAAGGTTCTCCCAATTCCATTGAGTCAGACATTGGTTGTGGTATCTTATCCCACGTCATAAAATATCAATGTGTTTGTTGGTATCAAAAATTACAAAGATTTAACGCACAAACAACTAATTCTCAAGTTCTACATGTTTTTTTCAGATGTTTCTTAGAAAAAAAATATATATACTTAGATTTGCTTCAGGAACACCCTTAAAATCTAAAATATTCCCCAAAGTCTCCCCCAGTCCTGGTGGAATTCCCAATGGGCAAAAACCGGCTGCTGCCTGGAGACAAACGCCACAGGAGGGCCTGGGAAAGCCAGCTTAGCTGCAAGAAATCTGTGGAAAGAGTGGGAAATGTGTACTTAATGGTTTCTGCATCCGGTGTGAAAGAGCGGTCCGTTCCGACCAGAGTGCGCTTGCAGCCGCACACCACGAGTGACAGCGGTCCGGTACTCCTGTGCCTTGCTAAAGCAGGGTCTCCCTCGGTGCCAACTGGTTCATATTTAGGAACAGGGACAGGTGTTTCCGGTTCAGTTAAGGAAGATTTGTCATTTGCACGTCATCTGCCATCTCCAAGGCTGTGTGGCTCTGCTGCAACATCCCTTCATTGGTTTCCGCCTCTGCTGCAGTTTTGCCAGGATGATTCGAAGCTACCGGACCTCCCCGGTTCGGTTTGAACAAGTCATTACCACCTTTGGGTGTAATGCTAACTTTGGCAGCCTTAATATAGATCAATAATGATCAATACAGGCCAGTATTCCGTACATGCAGGATAATGATTATATATTGAGTAATCCCCAAACACGGTCATAAAATCACACTCACTTAGACGAGGGAAAAAGTGTTTCTGTACTTGTATTCCTTTTTGAGGAGCCTGGCAGACAGATATGTCAATTGCCAATTGCTTCAAACGCACATCTCCAGGTTTTGCCTGTGCGGGTGTTTGCCTGTGCCTTTCTAGGTTTTCAATATCAAAATCATTGCACATCTTGTCCAAGAATGGAGAGTTTATACATGTCTATACCCAAAAAGAGCAGTTTTTCCCCACCTGCCAGGTGAGGGTTGTTAGATTTTATCAGAGCGCATGCCCGCCCGCCGCCTCTTCCTCCTCCTCCTCCTCCTCGACTAGCTGTCCTCCTCGCCCTCCTCCTCGCCTCCGCCTCTTCCACCTCCACTTCCGCCTTGCCAACCTTGCCAACTCGTCGCCAAGCTCTTCGCCAACTTCCCAGCTCAGTGCGCACTGCTGGACCTCAACCTGCGAGCTGCCCAGCTCAGTGTGCACCGCTGGACCTCAACCTGCGAGCTGCCCAGCTCAGTGTGCACCTCTGGACCTCAACCTGGGACCTGCCCAGCTCAGCTCAGTGTGCACCGCTGGACCTCAACCGGGGACCTGCCCAGCTCAGTGTGCACCGCTGGACCTCAACCTGGGACCTGCCCAGCTCAGTGTGCACCGCTGGACCCTCAACGGCCAGATAGAATGCCAGAAGATATGCCAGATGAAATGTCAGATAATATGCCAGAAGATATGCCAGATAAAATGTCATGAGATATGCCAGATAGAATGCCAGAAGATATGCCAGATAGAATGCCACAAGATATGCCAGATAGAATCCCAGAAGATTTGCCAGATAATATGCCAGAAGATTTGCCAGATAGAATGCCAGAAGATTTGCCAGATAATATGCCAGAAGATATGCCAGATAGAATGCCAGAAGATATGCCAGAACATATGCCAGAAGATATGCCAGATAGAATGCCAGAAGATATGCCAGATAGAATGCCAGAAGATATGTCAGAATATATGCCAGAAGATATGCCAGATAGAATGCCAGACAGAATGCCAGAAGATATGTCAGAGAGAATGCCAGAAGATATGCCAGATAGAATGCCAGATAGAATGCCAGAAGATATGTCAGAATATATGCCAGAAGTTATGCCAGATAGAATGCCAGATAGCATGCCAGAAGATATGTCAGATAGAATGCCAGAAGATTTTCCAGTAAGAAAATGTATAAATGTGATGGTGGGGATCACACGAAGTAAAGTAATTTTGTTTTGGAACATTATCAAATAATGGATTGCTAGGTTTGAGGGAAATCTACAGGAAAGCTGCAGGTTTTCTTCGCCCGAAACATGGGGCTGGTCAGTTGGAAAAATTGTCATCATCGAATTGTGGAAATCAAGAACCTCTTTGGAGAAGAATGATAAACCATGGCCGTTTACCCCCATTCTTGGGCAGTATCAATTTTCCCTCGAAAACTACAGTATCTTCATATCCGCCGACCCCGGCTGCGCAAGGGGGAGCGCGAAAGGGAAAAGGATTTTCTGACACAGCATTGGTAGCAATTTTTTCTGTTCTATATCCGCCGACCCCAACTTCTAGTAGTACTACTACTACTACTACTATTACTACTACTCAGCAGGCCGCCGCAGGCAGCAGCAGGCAGCAGCAGGCAGCAGCAGGCATCAGCAGGCAGCAGCAGACACAAGCAGACGCAGCAGCAGTAAGCGCAACGGCAGCAGTGCAGCAGCTAGCAGCACGAAAAATTGTGTTTTTCTAGGATGGCATGGGTGTCAAGAACGTGGGCAAGAGCACGCAAAAGGTGCACATAGCCAGTAGCTAGCAGCCAGCGCCAGTAGCAGCCAGCAGCTAGTAGCCAGCAGCCTACCAAAAATCTAGCTTTTTCTAGGATTTCAGACGACACGTTAGGCACTTTTTTGGCGTGGTTCTGGCACTCGCTCGTCCTTCAGAGCCCTGGTGTTTTCCCCCGGCAAGTGATTTTTTCGAACCTGTTTTACTGCTAGCAGCCGCCAGCAACAGAATCTATCGAAAAATTGTGTTTTTCCAAGCAGACGCAGCAGCAGCAAGCGCAACGGCAGCAGTGCAGCAGCTAGCAGCACGAAAAATTGTGTTTTTCTAGGATGGCACCAATGGGTGTCAAGAACGTGGGCAAGAGCACGCAAAAGGTGCACATAGCCAGTAGCTAGCAGCCAGCGCCAGTAGCAGCCAGCAGCCTAGCCAGCAGCCTACCAAAATCTAGATTTTTCTAGGATTTCAGACGACACGTTAGGCACTTTTTTGGCGTGGTTCTGGCACTCGCTCGTCCTTCAGAGCCCTGGTGTTTTCCCCCCCGGCAGGTGATTTTTTCGAACCTGTTTTACTGCTAGCAGCCGCCAGCAACAGAATCTATCGAAAAATTGTGTTTTTCTAGGGTGTCAGACGACACGTTAGGCACTTCTATATATCTTGTATATATTTCTATAAGGTTTCAAACGTGACGTTTGGCAGTTTTCTCGTTTATATAGCACCAATGGGTGTCAAGAACATGGGCAAGAGCACGCAAAAGGTGCACATAGCCAGTAGCTAGCAGCCAGCGCCAGTAGCAGCCAACAGCCAGTAGCCAGCAGCCTACCAAAAATCTAGATTTTTCTAGGATTTCAGACGACACGTTAGGCACTTTTTTGGCGTGGTTCTGGCACTCGCTCGTCCTTCAGAGCCCTGGTGTTTTCTCCCCCGGCAGGTGATTTTTTCGAACCTGTTTTACTGCTAGCAGCCTCCAGCAACAGAATCTGTCGAAAAATTGTGTTTTTCTAGGATGTCAGACGACACGTTAGGCACTTCTATATATCTTGTATATATTTCTATAGGGTTTCAGACGTCACGTTTGGCAATTTTCTCATTTATATGGCACCAATGGGTGTCAAGAACATGGGCAAGAGCATGCAAAAGGGCAGTAGCAGCAGCAGCAGCAGCAGCAGCAGCAGCAGCAGCAGCAGCAGCAGCAGCAGTTGTTTCTTGCTTTGGAAGCTGTTTGATTGCAGCAGCACGACAGCAGCACCACAGCAGCAGCAGCCACCAGCAGCAGCACCAGCAGCAGGCAGCAGGCCGCCGCAGGCAGCAGCAGGCAGCAGCAAGCATCAGTAGGCAGCAGCAGACACAAGCAGACGCAGCAGCAGTACGCGCAACGGCAGCAGTGCAGCAGCTAGCAGCACGAAAAATTGTGGTTTTCAAGGATGGCACCAATGGCTAGCAGCCAGCGCCAGTAGCAGCCAGCAGCCAGTAGCCAGCAGCCTACCCAAAATCTCTAGATTTTTCTAGGATTTCAGACGACACGTTAGGCACTTTTTTGGCGTGGTTCTAGCACTCGCTCGTCCTTCAGAGCCCTGGTGTTTTCCCCCCCGGCAGGATCTATCGAAAAATTGCGTTTTTCCAAGCAGACGCAGCAGCAGTAAGCGCAACGGCAGCAGTGCAGCAGCTAGCAGCACGAAAAATTGTGTTTTTCTAGGATGGCATGGGTGTCAAGAACGTGGGCAAGAGCACGCAAAAGGTGCACATAGCCAGTAGCTAGCAGCCAGCGCCAGTAGCAGCCAGCAGCCAGTAGCCAGCAGCCTACCAAAAATCTAGATTTTTCTAGGATTTCAGACGACACGTTAGGCACTTTTTTGGCGTGGTTCTGGCCCTCGCTCGTCCTTCAGAGCCCTGGTGTTTTCCCCCCCGGCAGGTGATTTTTTCGAACCTGTTTTACTGCTAGCAGCCGCCAGCAACAGAATCTATCGAAAAATTGTGTTTTTCTAGGGTGTCAGACGACACGTTAGGCACTTCTATATATCTTGTATATATTTCTATAGGGTTTCAAACGTGACGTTTGGCAGTTTTCTCGTTTATATAGCACCAATGGGTGTCAAGAACATGGGCAAGAGCACGCAAAAGGTGCACATAGCCAGTATAGCTAGCAGCCAGCGCCAGTAGCAGCCAACAGCCAGTAGCCAGCAGCCTACCAAAATCTAGCTTTTTCTAGGATTTCAGACGACACGTTAGGCACTTTTTTGGCGTGATTCTGGCACTCGCTCGTCCTTCAGAGCCCTGGTGTTTTCCCCCGGGAGGTGATTTTTTCGAAACTGTTTTACTGCTAGCAGCCTCCAGCAACAGAATCTGTCGAAAAATTGTGTTTTTCTAGGATGTCAGACGACACGTTAGGCACTTCTATATATCTTGTATATATTTCTATAGGGTTTCAGACGTCACGTTTGGTAATTTTCTCATTTATATGGCACCAATGGGTGTCAAGAACATGGGCAAGAGCACGCAAAAGGGCAGCAGCAGCAGAAGCAGCAGCAGCAGCAGCAGCAGTTGTTTCTTGCTTTGGAAGCTGTTTGATTGCAGCAGCACGACAGCAGCACCACAGCAGCAGCAGCCACCAGCAGCAGCACCAGCAGCAGGCAGCAGGCCGCCGCAGGCAGCAGCAAGCAGCAAGCATCAGTAGGCAGCAGCAGACACAAGCAGACGCAGCAGCAGTACGCGCAACGGCAGCAGTGCAGCAGCTAGCAGCACGAAAAATTGTGTTTTTCAAGGATGGCACCAATGGGTGTCAAGAACGTGGGCAAGAGCACGCAAAAGGTGCACATAGCCAGTAGCTAGCAGCCAGCGCCAGTAGCAGCCAGCAGCCAATAGCCACAGAATCGAGGTCGTGGACCTCCCTCGGCTTCTTCACTTTTCCGGGGTCGGCGGCAGGGGCGGCAGCCCTTAAATAACTATATATATATAATACATATATATATATATATACACAAATATATGCATATCTATATAGATTATATTATAATATAATATAATACATTATAATACATGTGTATATTCTGTGAATTGTCCTCCCCATTCTGCTGCTTTCAAACAGCAGTGGATTGCCAGAAAAACACCCGTGGCTTGCGGCCGCCAAGCTGCTTCGACGCTGCAAGTGCACCAGCCTGTGGTGTTCAGGGGAAGATGTGGGAATTGACCATCTATAAGTTAGAGGTCTTACTGGGAAAATCCCCAAACTCAATCTGGTGAAATAGTTGATTTACCGAACTTAAAGATGGTGATTTTCCAGTTCGCTATGTTAATTTACCAGAGGGTAATCCTATTCTAATCATAGCTGGTTGGTGGTTGAGCCACCCCTCTTAAAAATTTGAAAGTCAGTTGGGATGATGTAAAATGACCCCCCCAAAAAAAAGTTGGTGAATGGGATGAGGTTCCGGTAAAATTGTCCCACTAGGTACCCTCTGGTTATGTCAACATACGAGTAGCTATTGAAAATGGTGATTTATAGTGGATTTACCCATGAAAAATGGTGGATCTGTCCATAATTATGTGAAAGTTTACCAGAGGGTAGAGGTCTTACTGGGAAAATCCCCCTCAAATAAATGGATAAACGCAGAACGCAAAACGTACGTTCTGGAACGCGTGTTCCGAACGCAGGGGTGTTTTTAGTGGTTTTATGGATCCCAGAAGCGTCCGAATCCTTTTTTGCTCCCTGCAAAAAGGATCCACTCTAGCACATGGAGTTTCTCAAGAAGTTTTCAAGCAGTCCAGGAGCAAAACTTGCAGGCTTTAACCTGCACAATTCTTTTAAAACCAGGCAAAAAAAGGATCCGTCTTTGGCCTGCCGAGCGTTTTTTTAAGGCCCTAAAAAAAGGATCCGTGTTTGGCCTGCCCGGCGCTTTCTAAAGCCTCTAGAAAAAGGATTCCATCTTAGGCCTGCCCGACCTAAGGCTTTTTGTCCAAACGGTTCTTCTCAGCAACACAAAGCAACATCAAACCCTAGAAAAATCCTTTTGATATCTCATATATCCCCTTCCCACTAGCTCTTTTCCACTTATTCACTTAATTATCAATCCAAACATATCCCATCAAGCTCCAAGTCATGGCCCAGATCGCTGATCAGCCTTCTGGTGGCTGCATCTACCATTTTGAGCCCACAAGAGCTCCACATCCTTTTTTTTAGTGGGGGAAAAAGGTTTCTGTGTTCAAACCCCGGAAATAAATTAACTTTATATCATTGGAAAAAAGGATTCACTCAGAACGCGCGTTCTGGAACGCGAGTTTTTAAAACGCGCGTTCTGAACGCCCAAACGTACCGAACGAACATGCTAAGGGATAAACTTTCAATGTGCTATCAATATCGAGCTTCAAGCTTCAAGAAGCCCTTCACAATGGTTCCAAGTTCTCCATTGGGAGGTCCTCAATTTTGTTCACCTTCAGCCTTCAATGCTACAATCCCCCCAACGAGTTAGTTTTAAAAACTCATTCCTACCCAGCCCCAATTTGCTGGTTGAATTGTCTTGCACCCCGCATTTGTTGGTGGTTAGGACCCATGTCTTGACTGTCGAACCCCCATTTCTGTTGATCCTTCAAGGCCCAGTTTCTTGTTGTTTCAATCGCCATGCACTTTCTTGGCATCGGAAAATTTCGGAGGTAGGGCGTTGGTGGATTGAAATCGTTCAAAGCAGAGCCTTTTCAACATGTGGGGTGGAAAAGTACATCTGCACCAAATTAAACATCTTTCACTGAACTCAACAAAGCCATCAAACCTAGTCAGATTGATGTTTTCTCATGCGTTTTTCCAATACTAAGCAAACTATGAAAAAAAGCCAGATATCCCAATGTTCATCAATTTTCATATCCATTAACATTCCCATGACTTCCCATTCTTTGCTTGGTGAAACCATGCTACATCTCAATTAACCATGATGAAGCCACTATAAAATCCCATAAAATCCACGATTAAATCCAATTGAAGCACGATGAAATCACGTGTGCGTCTTGGTCGTCCGTCAATTCCCTGCCCCTGCCGCATCCGATCCCAGCGGGACCTGGTGCTTAACCTTTGCCCTGGCAGTGAAGCAACCCAAGTCATAGATGTCATAGGGTAAAATGACCTAGATAAAATGAGGGTAAATCATTAAAAAAAATGGAATCCGGTGTCAGATGCCACTTCTGCTCTTCTGGGTTTCAACTTTTAACAGTGGACTAAGGGAGTGTTTCAATCCTCTAGATTCTCAGCGCAAGCTTATAGTCACTCCAAAAATGGTTGAATCAAGACACTAAAAAATCAGATCATATAGCAGGATAGTTGGGGGTCTGGGATGGCTTTTCTCACCGAAAACATCCGAAGATACCAACAAAAGTCAGGTCGGGGTGCGACCCTGCCTGACTTGTCGTCCGCTCGTGTGCCTTTGGTGCAGCTTTTCTCCTGGCAGCAGACCCTAGGCACTACACCGGATAGCCAATGGTCATTTTACCCTCCAGTGTCCTCAAACGTGGCATGCTGGAAAATCCAGCATTTATAGTTGATGTAAAACCCCCATTGATAGAAGATTTGTCCTTGCCACGTTTGATGACCGGAGGGTATAGGTACTCACCATCCCATCCCTCAATCAGTTGGTTTCGTGGCAAATCAACCGGAAACCATGGCTTTTTCATGGTTTTACCCCCCAAACAATAGAGGTTTTTTACTTAACTGTAAATTTGTCGTCATCCAATTCTGAGTAACTTAGACTCTTTTAAAATTGCCAGAAGTACTCAGTACACTGCACTACATTCGAGTTCTTTTTCACTACGAATGTATATGCATCATTCTCGCAATCATTCGTTGCTATCCTTAACACATCCTGAAAGCCATGGGCCACAATTGACCATTGCCATTCACCCAAAAATAGTCGGTATAGCTGTTTATTCACACCAAACAAAAAGGTACTCTCCTGTAAACTCACATCAGTGTGGAAAACCTCCTATGAAATTTCCCCCGCCATTTGTAGAATATGAACGGGTTTCCCGATGGATTTTCCACATTTTTTTGGTGAGTGGAAACCCCAATGGTGTTTCGACCCATTCCCATTTCTGGATCATGATCCAACACCGTTCTCCCAAGGCGCCCTTGTTAGCTGGAGGGAATCTTTGACACGTGGTGTCCTCATTCATTATACCGCTGATCTACAGTTGAATAAGCCAACTAAAACATCTTGTAACTAACTGTACATAAGCCTATATAAACCATATATATAAACCATATATAAAAACTGTTGAATAAGCCAACCAACATATATAAACCATATATAACATTACATAACCATATTATAAGATGTTATCAGCCACCATAAGCCACACACAGCCAACTTCCCCATCGCCTTGGCGCGTTCTCGCCCTGTCATGGGCAGCTTCCACAGGTGCGAACCAGATTTCTAGACAAGATCAATTTGTCAAATTGGAGACGCTTTAAAAACTTTAAAAGAAAAAAAAACGCAATTTACCCTCTGGTAAACTAACGTAACTATGGAAAATCACCTTTTTTAATGGGACAATCCACTATAAATGGCCATTGTCAATAGCTATGTTAAATTACCAGAGGGTAGGCTTTTTTATGTTTTTTTTTTTTTTAAGGTCACATAATGCGAAAAAACGTCTAGAGCTAAACCTGACAATAGACAGGACATTCACCGACAGTTTTTGTCGCCAGATTGCAGGAAGTCGACGAGTCGGGTTTTGGGGCAGTGGCCAAATAGTCAAGGCTCAAGCAATAGTAATGTGGCCACAAACCCAAGAATAAACCTACCATTTGGGGATGGTTTATACAAAATATATATATATAATATTCATGGTGATTTTGGGATGGTTTATGGTTGTTTTACCATGTTTTACCCACACTAATCCATGTTGCCCTCTCGTAAACTAAGATAACTATGGAACATCGCCATGTTTTATGGGTAGATCACTATTTTTACATATTTTTACTGTGGTTTATTGTTGGTTTTACCACATTTGTCGACACGCAATGGAGTAGAATTGGATAGAGTTTGGGGAGCTGCCATGTTCGCTCAGGTCCCCGGGGTTCAGCGACTGAACATCCGTATGATCCAGCTATGTCTTGTGTTCAGTCCCCTATCTATGGTTATGGTTGAAACATGTTGAAACAATTGCCGCTTCATTTTCTGATGCCAAAAAAAGAAACACATATATGTCAAACTCAAATTTGTCTGGTTGGTGGTTGACCTACCCCTCTGAAGAAATTGAGTTCGTCAGTTGGGATCATTATTCCCAACTGAATGGAAAAAAAAAAACATGTTCCAAACCACCAACCAGTTGTGTGTGGTTGACTTTCCTTAATCAAACGGTTTTTCTTTATCCCTCGTTGGTCCCGATCTGTCCCGATGCAGCGAACCTAGCAAGACTGCAGCGCAGCGTGCTGCACCCGCCACGGCCACCTCTGTCACTGGCACCTGAATTTCGAGGACATGCTAAATATTGGGATGATTATGTAAGGATGATGATGATGATGATGATGATTATGATTATTATTGTTATTATTATTACTATTATTATTGTTATTATTACAGTTATGGCCCTTAACACTTCTAAATGGGCAAACAATTATATACAAATATATAATTGGATTACAGTGATGGCCCTTAAGATCCCTTAAGTTATAAATGGAATTAAATATGTAACTCCTATAGCTAAGGTTAAATATATATATATATCTTGAACCAACGATTATCTTGCGGTTTGGGTTGGGAGGTTGGAAACCGAAGTATCCCATAATTCCCAAATTCCAAAGCGTCAGCCCGAACCACCAGGTGCCATGAAGGTGGATGGTAGAGTCGTGAACGGTCCTGACCCTGTCTGCTTATCCATGAAGTGCAAAGAAGGTATCTGTGTGGAGTGCTAGAATGGGCTTCCTCGCAAGCCCGCTCAGTCGGGCCTCTTTAATGGCACATGGTGATCGAAGATGCTTGTAAAGATCATGGAGGATGTGCGTGTCCATGTGGACTCTGGCTGCCATCATGGCGATCTTCTCGTCGTCCCATGGTCCAGCAGTTGGTTGGCACTTGGCCGTAAAGATCCTGAGGAAGGCGCGGATCAAGTGTCCGCCAAGTGCAACTGAAACTCCCTTTCTACTACCGCCCAGTTGTTGTGGGTGCAGAATGGTTTCTGGCACGGGTTGGTTTTTCCTTCAAGCTCTTTCAAAATGTATTTTGGGTGGCAACCAGCCAAGAAAGCAGCAGATTTTTCTTCACACATTTGTGAATTTCAGCCATTTGGAAGAGGCAACCATAAATTTATTTTGGAGTCATGGTCGATCACGGACGCCTGAAAAGAAAAATCTATACCTTTTGGGATTGACCTGTAAGAAGCAGATTCACAATTCCACCACCTGTTCCCCATAAAACTACAAAATCCTGGAATTTGCTTATTAATTGGGGTCACTTTTGGGGCAGGTAATTTTTGGTAGGGTCTTAATTGAGGAGTCAGAAGCAGATTAAAATGTTCTTATAAGATGTCTCAGTCTGAGTCTGTACATGCCCATTGTTTTACTCTTAAGGGCCATAAATGTATAATAATGTGTATATATATACAATTATTTATATATATATAATTATTTATATATATATATACTTATCACATACAAGGTGGTGCCCCATAGTTAGCTAAGGTGGCTTATAACTCCATTTGTAAAGCATCCATTTAGATGGGCGGATTAGTCAAGTGGTTAGTAACTGGCGGAGATGTGCGTGGCTAATGGATTATCACCCACTTACTCACTAACTAGTCGCATGGCCCACAGAGGCATACTTATAGTATGATTATGATCTTATGATATCTTATGTGTATGTGTCAACCCTCCCAGGGGGGTCTTGCCTGTGATTTTATAACAATAAAATGTGGTATAGCCAATAGTAAACCTCCATGTTTATCAGCTTGGATATTCTGAAGGAATCCCCAAACAATAGCAAACATTCCGCAAGTAGTGCATTTCCCATTCAAAAAACAACATCAGCAAAGCCATTCATCGGGTAAAATGACAAAAAGAGGTGCAAACGCCTTTTCTGGTTGGTGGTTGACCTACCCCTCTGAAAAATATGAGTTCGTCAGTTGGGATGATGACACTCCCAATATGATGGAAAAATAATCCATTCATGTTCCAAACCACCAACCAGAATGCCACAAACCATCCCCAAAATCACCATTATGGCTGGTATATACGGTATAAACATGTATAAACCATCAAACATAGGGGTGGTTTATGGTTCTAAACCACCAACCAGCCTTTTCCGGAACCCCTGCTTTCCATACCTGCCATACCTCCGTTACTAACGATGGCCTGATGACCTCCGGGAATCAACATGGCAACCAAAACTCCCCAGCTTTTCCGTTGGTTTTCCCATTGAAACCCCATCATACATCTGCAATGTGGCCGCGTAGATAGCTATTAGTTGCTTTATAACTTAAATAAATACGCTTTATATGAATGTTTATGATACTTCAAACAGGTTATTGAGTAGTATTCAGAATGGGTCCAAAATGATATTTCAACTGTAGGTTTTTTTCACATGATATTTATATCAACCGGGGGTTGAACATTGTCTTGTACTCAGAAGTGGTTTACAAATATCAACGTTCACATCACCGGGAGAAACAACGTTTGGGGCAGAAAGTTGGAGAAATCTACAACTTAGATGGATAAACTATCTAAGTGCCTCAGCCTCCCATGTTTTTTATATCTCAAATAATTATCCTCTGGTAAACTAACATAGACCCTGAAAAATCACCATGTTTAATGGCAAAATCGACCATTTCAATGGGCCAATGGGCCATTTTCAATAGCAAACTGTCATAACCAGGCCGGGTAGTTCTCATGTTCCACTGCCACTTAGACTACAGGGTGGGTACATCTCATTTGTTGATGGTGAAACCACCACCATTTTCCGGTGAATCATCATTTTGTATATCATCTAATCACCAATGTTTAATGGAAACTAATTTTTCAAACCCCGATGACTGGCAGGGTCTATGTTAATTTACATGAAATTACCAGTAAATCCCACTAAATCCCATTAGATCCCATTAAATTGCCAGTAAATCCCATCACCATAAATTTATTGGAGGGTACCTAACTCATTTTTCACAACAGTCCTCCCTGGCTGGCACCTCGTCATCCGCTTTCTTCGGGCTACAATCTGGCGATAAAATCATTGGGATATGTCGTGGGAATCTCTATATGAATGATGGGGATAGAACATGACTGGTTGGCGGTGTTACCCTCTGGTAAACTAACATAGCTATGGAAAATCACCATTTATAGTGGAGTTTCCCATTAAAAATAGTGATTTTCCATAGTTCTGTTAGTTTACCAGAGGGTAACCATCTTGAAAAATATCACCCTCTGGTTATGACTAACAGTTTGCCATGGAAAGATCCACCATTTTTAATAGGTCAACCCAGGTAAACCATCTATTTCTATGGACCATTTTCCATGGCTATGTTAAATTACCAGAGGGTAGTCAATGGGAAGGATTATCCCATATATTATGGAAAATAAAAAAAATGTTTGAAACCACCAACTAGATGATATAACGTGATATAACTCTATCATGGATACTGAAGTGGGAAATCTTGTAATCCAATATGAATGGCAATATCAATATCAATGGATATTTTACCCTGTGGTAATGAACTGTGGCTAGAAAATCCCCTATAAATGGAGGCTCTAATAGGAAAATCCTCAAACTAAATGGATAAATTTCCAGCTTGCCACGATTGAAGTTGAATCGAAAAATTCTATGAGTTGCTGGGATGCACAGCCAAGTGAGTATGAGTCAGTATGAGTTCAAACATCTTCAAAGGCCTCTGTCAACAACCTTTCCTCTGCTTGTCTTACAGTTTCCACATCTTGGTCAGAATGATCCAAACAAAAACCGGTACAGTTGTAGAACCCCCTATCCCATAGGATCCATGTATGCTATATATATATATGGTAACATTTACCATCAATATACCCCCAATGTTAGCATATATACCATACATGGATCCTATGGTTATAGATTATACTAAATCGTGACTCATCAGCAAGGATGAGCTGCTCACTGCTCAATTGGCTAAGCTCGGATTTTGGCTCCTTCGATACGTAACGTAAGCTGGATTTATGGTGGATTTAATCAAACGGGGCAAGCTGGAAAATCTCCGATTGAGCAAGATGTTGTTTCCGTTTAAACTTCCATTTATAACGGATTTTCCAGCTAGCCACGTTTGAGGACACCGGTGGGTATCTGTAGTTAAATTGTTTATTATATAATATATGTATAATTATAATATATTATAATTATATATATATATCATAGCTACAATGTGAGGCCCCCAAGATAGCTAACTTGGTTTATAACTCCAATAACTATGGTTTATGGTACTTATAACTATAACTATATATAGTTACTGGGGCTTATAAACCAACTAACATCACTGGGGGGCCTCACATTGTACAGGACAACACTATACGATAACTACAGAATAGCCTACTTATCCAATTCATCCCCATGGATGCCATGTGACCCACCGAAAAAAAACAGCGCTCTCAGTGTCAGCCCCGCACCTAGCAACACCGCAGCACAACGCGCAGCGGCCACGGGCACCTCCGTCACCGGCACCTGAGAGTAGGTGGAGAAGATGAGGATTTCATGATTATGATTATGAAAGTTGGATACTGGTTAATAATGGTTAATGATGGTTAATAATGGTTAATAATGGTTAATAATGGTTAATAATGGTTAATAATGGTTAACAATGGTTAATAATGGTTAATAATTGGAATAATGTGGGTAAAACAAGGTCATAAACCAATCATGACTGGGAATGCTAAACATACCACCTATAAAATTGCTGATGACTGGGGGATTGTCTATTATATAGTTTTACCCACATTACTTCACTGACCTGACATAAAACTATTTCGGGATACTTGGAGGATCATCCCACTTAATAAGTGGTTAATAACTCTCATAGGACCCATAGGAAGTCCTATAAGTACCTATAAGTGGGATGTATCCGCCCCGCAGCCAGATTGGTGATTTCAAGCATTATAATCTATGTGATTCTACCAAAGGCGGCCCCACAAGTAAAACAAACCGAATCAAACACAAATACCATGCGCCACAACACTCGGCAATGCAAGCGAGCACTGATGGCGTTTTAGCCTTTTTAGAAACAAGCAACCACATCAATGCCAACAGCCAGGGATTCAAAACCAAATTGGTACCATCTGGTTAATTATTCAACATATATGGAAAGATCCACCATTTAGTTCGACGGTTTACCGAACTTAATAGCATGGTGGATCTGTCCATGGCAAACCCCGAGGATCCCACCAATCTGAAAGAAAGCCCGGTTACCCAATATATGTGGCCGGTGCCACGGTACACAGTATAAAAAAGCAACCCCCAAAAAGGTAGACCAGGAAAACTATACTCAAATTGTGGTAAATCACTTTTCTATCTTGTTGAAGGTTACTGTAATTTGTACTCTCTAGCAATCTAACCAAGCAGTGGCAAGTACCCATTTATATAGGCATAAAAAACACGCAACAAAACGGCAGCACACATACGTAGCAAAAACGTGTCCTGTCCCTCTGTCCGTTCAAACATTTTTTGTATGCTCAAGTTACTCACCATGGAATGCTGCTTGGATCAGCGCATCATATTACAACTTGGGACGTGGATGCTACACTCACAATGATTTCTTCAAAATTATCTTCACAAGGGAAACAACGTTTGAGGCAGAAAGTCGGAGAATTCTACAACTTAGATGGCTAAACAGTGATGATAGTGATGTTGATAAACCATGATAAACCCATTTAACATCATTTCACTAAGTGCCCCAGCCTGCCATCTTTTATATCATCCATTCTAATGATTCTAATGGCTGGGGCGCCCCTCCCATCGTCACCTCCTCCGCTTTCTTCGGGCAATCGGTGCGATCTGGGCGATCGAAGCGTGTGGACAATGCTGGGATGATCCGGGAAGTTCGTTGCTAGGGGTACTTGGCTTATATATGATTAATATGGTTGAAACATGGTTTCCATAAATGGCTAATATATGGTTAATATACTGACAAGAATGGTTCATATATGGTTATCATATCTGGTTGGTGGTGCAATAACCATCTTATGAAAAATGATGGAGTGAAAGTCAATGGGAAGGATAACATCCCCTATAATTATGGAACATAAAATTCCATGGTTCCAAACCATCAACCAGAGAAAGTACAAAAAACTCTGGGATGGTCGTGCCTTTACACTGGTTGCTTAGTAGAAAATCCCATCATGGACTGCGATCATCCCCGATTAGTCATCGATGTTAGTATAGAATCTGCTACAATCAGTAACCACCCGGGGTTTAGCAGCTGCTCACCTTTAACATCCTTTAACTGATTGTACCAACCCCAGTGGGAGATCACGTTGGATATCCAATTTATATCATCTTATATCAATTTATACCGATACCTATATAATTAGTACAAGTTCTTATATCAAATAGACTAAACCGATAGTTCATTAGTTTAAAGTAAAACAAAATATGAATGAATAACATAGACTAAACATTGACTATACCATACTAAGATGTTCTTTCTCAGTTACATTCACTTCCCATCCAACTGACTTTCATGACTATCCCAGTCCCTGTGAAATGTCCCAGATCAGCTCCCCAACCCCCCCAGCTGGCACATTTGTTTGTGAACTTGATCAACGGTTGGTCTTTGTACCCAAAATTTTGAGACATAACTTCATATTTACATACCATCTGGTTATTTAACAGTTCGCCATGGAAGCCATGGCCTAGAAATAGATGGGTTTACCGTTCTTAAAAATGGGTGGATCTTTCCATGGCAAACTGTTAGTCATAACCAGATGGTATATGATGATACCCTCTGGTAATTTAACATAGCTATGGAAAATCACCATGATTAATGGGAAAATCCACTATTTCAATGGCCATGTTCAATAGCTATGTTAAATTACCAGAGGGTATATGTACCAAGCTCCTTGGCTAAATCGAACCAATCCATTCGCTTTCTCTTCGCCAATCTCGGATCATGTGGCTGATCGTCACCATGGCAGATATGGCCAATCTTAGATCATTCAGAAAGGCCTATGGGAGTTGGATGTTCTCTCTATACATATTATAATATATTATATACATATTCTACTTATCCCAGTTTCTGCCGACATGAAAAAATCTTACCAATTATAAGAACTATATTATGTTTGTTGAATATCCACGATTCTGACATGACATGACATGACATGATGAAATTATAGAATAACAATGAATATCATAGATTCTGGATAACTTCCTGGTTGGTGGGTTCAACTCCTCTGAAAAATATTAGTCTAGTCAGTTGGGATGATTATTCCCAATATATGGGGAAAAAATATGTTCCAACCCACCAACCAGATAGGGATTTAATGAGATATTCATGGATTAGTGGATTCTGGGGATATCATGGGAAAGTCATTGGGAATATCATATGGTAAGTACCTCCATTTTAGGGTCCTGAAATGGCCATTGATATAACCTCTCCATTAGTGGAGTATCCCATTTCTAAGTGGCTCACCTGGGACGACCCTCCCGACCTGGCGCATCCGCCGACTCGGAGTCGGAGTCATACCTCGAGCGCAGGGCAGGAAAGTGAGAAAGGAGAAATCGAGGGAATGTTTAACAGAGGGTATATGACTGTAGATCACCCGGAAAACCATGGAAAACATGTGTCAACCGTTCTATACCAGCCAAAAAATGTTGATATGATTCGGAAAAAATACGTGCTTGTTGATCTACTACACTTGGGATTTGCCTACAACAAGAAAATACAAATGTAAAATATATCCACATTTATAAACAAAAATATCGAAAACAATAAACATTCAACATTTAAAATTTAAAACAGCTTATGCAAACACAAAGTTAAACACACAATGCGTCTCTGTCATTTGGTTTTGTGCAGATGGGGAGCTCACCATGACCGTCGCAAGTGATGGGGGAGTTTTTTGCACCACAAAACGAGGTTTTTACCTCGGAAAAAGCAATCAAAGATGAGGAATTAACCATTCAAAAATGGAAATATGAATGGATTTAACCCCAGATTCATAAATTCAGATATAATATATTTAATATATATATATATATTATGTTGATGTATATATTCTGTTGATGAGTCACAGGTGTTACCTCCAAAAAGTATCTTAAAAAGTGATAATACCATGCAATCGAAATGGGACCCCATGTTTCACTCTCTACAAATACTGCTAAACTGGCTTGACCCTGTCTAAAAGTGAACCAAACATGTGCTGTACTGAGCCCTATGCTTGGTTTCTGCATGGTGGTTAGGCACCAAGAAAGCCGCAGCCGTCAACAATGACGGTGGACCTCGTACCAGTTATAATAAATGGAGTTTTAGACGCTTTGAACTGGTAGAGAACCCTGTTCACTATAGTTAGAAGTACCATATATATATAAACCATAGTGAAATTAGAGTTCTGTTTACCAACTTAGCAAATTATTCTTTTTGAAGGCCCCACATTGTATACTTCTGCGGTTTATTCCCAGCTGCATCACCATCCCCATCCGCCGGTCCAAGGGATCCAAGGGACAAGTCGTGCGCGGCGCACGTCATGCTGAGCCACGAAACAGCGACGGGTCAGCGACGGGAGGACGAGTTGCCCGAAAGATGTTCGAGACTTTTTTTGAACTTTATAAATGGACATACAATGGGGAGATACCCTCCAGTAAATTAACATAGACCCTGCCAGTCATCGGGGTTGGAAGGCTAGTTTGCACTATAAATTGGTGATTTTCAGGGTCTATGTTAATTTACCAAGGGGTATCATATATGTAAGACAAGGGGATTCTAATGGGATGTATCAAAAAAAATATCACCTTTACCACCTTTATGTATCTTTATGTGATATTATATCATATGGGGATTAGAAAATTTGGATATAACATATGGATATATACCCATATATATATATTATAGTATAACATGAGACAGACCCATATGGATATAACTATACTATATTCAATGGCCATGTCAGGAACCTAAATTGGAGGTACCTACCATATATTTTTGGCCTATTGTTCAGGCCTTAATTTCAGGGAATACCCCCACAATTCATATGGTATTATATGGTACTAACGTACCTCCAGTTTAGGATCCTGGAGATCTCCCATTGAATATATGATGGATCTGTCTAATGGGCTATTGATCATGCAGATTCCCCTCAGGGACGATGATGAAAACCACCATGGAACCTGGCAGTGATATGGTACCAATAAGTGATCACTACTGTGGATGGAAGAAATCCATTCCCAAATGGGTGGTTTATGACATTGTTTTACCCACATGTGTCCATATTAATCCATGTTACCCTCTGGTAAACGTTTACATAACTATGGAAATATCCACCGTGTTTAATGGGAAAATCAACGATGTCAATGGCCATTTTCAATAGCTATGTTAAATTACCAGAGGGTAAGTTATGTTCATGTTTTGGTATAAAATGACACTTATAATATTATAAGTGATATGGTATATCATGTTTGCACGGACTTTTTCATGTTATGGGCAATGAAATTGGGGTCCAATGTCATGTTATTTTCATGTTTTCTCTTGTAAAGGGCAATTTCTTGGGGTCATGTCATTTTCATGTTCTGTTCATGGTTTAACAAAATGTTAACACATGTCACAAACCCTTGATGGAGCTTTCAAATGGTCGTATGTCCAGCTGTTCAACATGTTCGAACAATAATTAATATTCAAACGTATCTATCTGTATCTCTATATATATACATAGGTGAAAATATGTGAAACTTAACTTGAAAATTGACCTTCAGCTGCTAAAACATACATTATAAATATATTCCCCACAAGGAAAATGCTAAAAAAAAATAGCGCTTTCCAACCTTCCCAACCTAAACCACTTCCTCCGAGAGGACTCGAATAGCTTTCTATGGATCCAAAACCTGGATCCTTTCCAATGCCAACCAGGTGGGGAATCCCAATAAACCATCCTAACAGATCTAGCAGTTTGTTGATGAATCCCTCTCCAACATGGAACACCTTGTCCGGAAACTATGATGGTTTAAAAAAGGGGGGATTTACACATATCTACAATGTGAGGCCCCCAAGATACCTAACCATAGTGAAATTGGAGTTATGTGCACCAACTATTGGTATATACTCCTACTTCCTATGATGAAGAAAATAGCATCCAACTGATTTTTGTGGCCATGGTGGAAAGGCCGGGGGTCCCATACAAGGTGGTGCCCCATGCTTAGCCAAATTATGCTAAGTTGGTTTAGTTCAGCAGGTTCCCTATGGTTTTGGAATCTGGAACCATAGTTCGGTGGCTTCGAAACCAGCAAACACTGCAGGACACCACCTTGTAAGGTAAATCTTGGGCAAATAACTGGATTCTAGTGATAGAACTGGTGATTCTTTTATGGATATAACTTGATATAACTTATAACCAAACAAAAAAAAAGGGAATAAATCACCTTGTGCCAGTGGGACTCTGGACTCTGGACGACTGCCCCTTTTTCCACCCCCCGAAACTCCATACGGAGCGGGCACGTCGGCGTTTTGCCGTACGCACTGCGGAGCGCGCGTCTTGCGCAAACCGTTGAGTCCAGGGTGATGCGAGGTCAAACACGGCGCCATCCAACCAATTCCATGTGTTTTTGATGGGAATTTCATGGGGGTTCCCCATCAATTTCCAGGGCTCTTATGGAGGTTTCAGTGGTTTAATTGGATAATAGGTTTAACTATTTAACTATCAAACATATATGGCTATATGATTGATAAATGCTGGTGCGCAACAGAAACTTTTGCCAATACTTATAGGATCTTATAGGTACTGACATAAGTAGGTTTCAACGAATAAAATACGTCAACATGATTTAACCAACCTACGGAACTGTCAATATGTTGCTTAAGATGCCTTTACCGGGACTGGGGCCAACTGGCCAACTGGCTAACAAATATGGTGGATGTTAACATTGATTACACTGATGGGGATATATATATATAAATATATATACAGTATATAGTATATAGTATATATATATTATACAATAACATAATGGATGTTAACAATATATATATATATACCATATATTTATTATAATTATATGGTGGATTATCCTTTGTAAAATGATGGGCACGTAGAATAGTATATCGGGCCATGTTCCCAAAGATGATGAGCACATCCACAGATAAATAGGTCATTTATCTAATGCTGGTTGACCTGTCGAACCTGTCATGGCTGGGTAAACCACATTAGCTGGGTTTGCTGAGTCCATCTGAAAAAGGCACCGTTATTGGATTTGAATCTGATTCGTTTCTAATGTTGGGTGTTAAAGATGTCCGATTTCCAGATGTTCCAGGATTTTCAAAGTTCCATGAATCAAGATATGATGTTGGTACTATGTGGGGCCCCCCAGTTGTAAAATGGTTCATAAACCCCATTAACTATTATAGTTATTTCCATATCATAAACCATAGTTATTCGAAATTATGTTCACCAACTTGACTTATTTATCTACGGGGGCCCGCATTGTAGGTGATCGTGATAGCTATCATTTTCACCAGCTGTCGATCTCCCCAATGGGTCGCTCCGCCCGCTTGGCGCGAGTGCTAAGCCGCTAAGCGCTCAGCCGATGATCTCCAGAATCCTTCGGCTCGAGTCTGGAAACGAACTGATCAATCTCTGTTTACTCAAAAATAAAGGTCTGTTCCTGTAGCCTCTGGTAAACTCACATAGCTATATGGAAAATCCTCATTTTTAATGGGAAAATCAACTATACATGGCCATTTTCCATAGCTATGTTAGTCATTACCAGAGGGTAGATTTTCTCCTAGAAATCATGGATGTGCCTTGAAAATTCCTTGTTTTCGATCGATGTCCCGGACGAACCGTGGACAAAAACCGTGGACGAAGCGACTTCGGACATCCCGGGTAGCTCTGCTCTGGGATGTTCGCTAAGTTGGTGAACAGAAAACTCTGCAACTAATTGATTATATATAACAACTATAGGATTTATGATGATTTATGGCTACGGTAACTACATTTAAATATACGGACTTTTCAATATACGAACAGGTATTTTAGACTACCTCCGGGAAGGTTTTCCTTGGCCCGCCCGGCCATTTAAACATACGGAATCCAATTCATTTTTAAACATACGGTAACTACATTTAAATATACGAACTGGTATTTCATACTACGGGGCCTCGCGGTCTGGCCCGCCCTCCACATATTTAAATGTCGTTACCGTACTATAACTGTAGTATTCATGGGGTATAAACTATAAACCAACATTCACATCACTGAGGGACACCAGCTTCTAGCGTAGGCGATAGAGAACCCAAGCGTCAGATGGACTTCAGAAATGAGATCTGATGACCACCAACTTGCCGTTTTCCATGCCATTTGGATTTGGGGATATTGGGAGATTGTAATATATTAAATATTATTTAATTATTGGATATTATTATGACTTATTGGGATGTATTATACTATGATATATACCATCTGGTTATGACTAACATAATTAGCGAACTGGAAAGATCCATCATTTTCTAAGAACAGTTAAAGCCATCTCTTTCGATTA